CATAAAAATTGAGGGACTAGATACATTTTAAAGTCACCCATAAATTCTTGATGACTTTAGGTGACACGCACCATACCAACACCAGGTTTTATTTGTAAAGATAAATGACCTTTTTGGTGGTAAGAATATCTATCACAACTGATAATGTCACTAAATTCATCAGTTCCATGAATTTTGTATTTTTTTATACAAGGTTTTCTGCCACATTGATAATTATTAAAGGGGCATTTCACTGCAATAGCTGCAAGGTACTCACTAAATAAAAAAAAAAGGAAAATAATCATTAGTTATTTAACTATTTCGACTAAAATAATAGGTTAATAATTTCTCTTCAACAAATAACATTACTCCTTACATTTGAGTAGTAACATGTCTTTGTCTTTCGGAAGGAATGTTTGAATTAAGATTCAAAATAAATTGGTCATTTTCAAGATTTACTGTCTTATGATATGCATTTAATATTTCATTACCAGCAAGTGGACATACTTTTACGTCTTAACTATTTTTTTAACTGGAACATATGATTTTCATGTTTTATCTTCAGGATTAATACCAAAATAAGGACATCCTACTTTAGAACTTCCACCACTAGGCTCGTCCATACTATTGGCACTTGGAAAAGAAAATAAATAAAACAAAACAAATTGATTAATTGATTGATTAGAAATACTGTGTCAGTTTGAATAGGAATACTGAGTTTTTAATTACATCGTTTGTTACAGAGGAGACATCATTCCATTCTTTGACATAAAATATATAAGCAATTGCTTCATTTGATATTTCAGGATATTCTATTGGCATTATTGTATGTTTTACATCTTTAATTTTAGTATCGTGAGAGAACAGAGCAAATATGCCATCTTTGTCATCGGAATTAAAACCACCATTGTCATTATTATCCTTATTATCTTTATCACAAACACTACTATCACTTTCATCATCACAATCACAATCAACATCACCATTGCCAATATCATCTATATCTAAATTAAATTCTTTTCCATTAAGATTTTCACTACCATTTGTCACAGTGCTTAACAACTCAAGTTCCTAAATAATAGTATTTAATAGAATTGAATGAAGGAATTTTTCCCTTTTAATATTTTATTTTAATCATTAATAATAGTAAGAAATTATA